CAGAGAGGAGAAGAGCTCTGAGGCTGGAACTGACTGCAACACATCTCGAGCGACCGGTAGCCAATAGCAGTTGCAGAACAGCTTTACAAGAAGATCTTCGAAAGTATAGGCAATCAAAACTCTTGGAAGCAGCATAAGGAAGGAGAGGTTTAAAGAAGTACCGCAGGGACCTTCTCGACTACCGTGCTTTGCTGAAACATTACTAAATTCTTCGAAAGTATAGACGAGACTCGCACATCTCCGACAAAAGATGGAATCGATCACGAAGAGATCTACACCAATCTTTTTTGCTCGTCAACACCCGTGTCAAACCCCGTCATTTCCACTGGAGAAATATCACCACGGAATCTACCTGCTGAAGTACGCGCCGCAATGCAGACCATGAAGGCAGGCACGGCTTCGGGACCGGACCATGTTTCGGTCGACCTCTTGCGAGCTGGAGTACATCGCCTACACGAGATATTTGCGAAACATCTAACATCCTACCTTCAAAAGGAAATGATCCCTAACCAGTCGAGAACCTCCCGAACAATACTTCTTTATAAGAAAGGTGTTAGGGAGGATCGTCGTAGCTACCGTCCAATAGGCCTTCTGAGCTTGCTTTACAAGCTCTTTACGAAGATGATTCTCGCTCGCATATCATGGACATTGGATGAAGCCCAACCTATAGAACAAGCTGGATTCCGCCAGGGATTCAGCGCGGATCACATCCAGACAGTTTCGAAGCATCGAGGTTTGCCGAGAGTACCGCCTAACTCTCGTCCTAACCTTCGCTGACCATGAGAAAGCGTTTGACAGCGTCGAGACTAATACCCTGCTGTCAGCGCTCCGACCAAGGAGTGGACCCATCCTACGTGAGGACATTGGCGACTGCTACAGGAATCGCTCTACAATGATACAGCTTCCATCGTCCCCTTAACAACCAATCTCGATGGGGGTTCGACAAGGCGACACCGTGTCGTCAAAGCCATTTACCGCCGCATTGCAGTGGGTGATGAAATCACTGAATTGGAACGAGAGAGGCATACGAGTAGATGGGAGATTCCTTTCGAACATTCGTTTTGCGGAGAACATTGTCTCTTCTTGAGAAGTATCACTGAAGCGGAGACGATGTTGAA